TTACGTATATTTCTTCTTTTCTTTAGAAGTTATTACCTTATACCTTATAACAAATTTTATACATATTAAAAATTATGATCAAAAAATGTATACAAAGATAATTTATTAAAAAAATTGAATTTTCTTAAAGTCAATGTAAATTTTATAAACTTCGCTTTAATTATTATACAATAATATTACTTTTGGAATTAAATTTTGGAACGTATTAAACTCGTTAAGCGAGTTTACACTGTATTGAGAATTAAGTATGATCAAAAAGTTTAGAAGTTTACATTGATTTCATTAAACTCTTGAATAAAATCAATGTAATTTGTATAAACTTAGCCTTAATCATGTTTAATTTACACTTGTACTTGAATCAGAAACTTTCTATAAATTGCCTCAATTAACTCAAATAATTTGACGAAATTGCAAAGAGAAAATGATTTATAAATAGTGCATATTTATTTAATTTAGTGCAAAAAAATTGTTTAATTACAAAATAATATTTATTTAATTATTTACTAAAATAATACTTTTATTTAATAGACTAATTAGGGTGGTTACTAATTAACAATGATTTTATATTGAGGTCTAAATAATTTATGTAGAAACGTCAATTACGAAACTAATTGAAGGATCAAACACGTTCAGGTCAAATTTAATGTACAATTTTAGCGAAATAATTAATTATTAGAAATTCTATCTAAATAATTTGTAAAAATTGTAAAAAAAAAATGTAATTGAAACTGTTTAAACAATAAACAATAGTTATTGAAAAAAAAGTGAGTTGAATTGAATTCAATAGCGAAATATTATATATTACAAAAATAATTGAAATTGGAAACTGGACGAGAATTAATTACAAAATAATAAATAAAATATTATTATAATAAATATATAAAAGCTTTTCGAGAGAGGAAAATAATTAATGCATAGAGTTTTACTTGTATTTGCCTGTATTCCCATTTAAATGTGTGCGATCTTGTTGTTGTTTTATTTTTTTTTAAATTAATTTATTTAGTTTTGCGTATGGATATTTTCGGTATACATTGTAAATGCCGGAACGAAATTGGAATTTGTGCACATATATGTGTACATGAATATCAAATTAATTTGCAATTCGTTTATTGAATTCAACTGATGAAATTATCGGGGCTAACGTTAAATTCCCATCTACTACAAATTAAAGATATTTACAGCGAATAAAAATATGCATATTACATTACATTTATAATATATTATATTAAATTTGTAAAATATTTCATTAATTTTATAAAATTAAATCAATTATTTTCAACAAAAAATAAATAATTCCGACAGTATCTTTTACTTATTTCATATAGACTTATTAATTACTTATTAACAATAAGATACTGTCGGGATTATGGTTGTCGGGATTTCGAATGTCGGGATTTTGTTTGTCGGAATTTCGATTGTAAACATTGAACCCTTAAACATTGTAAAATCTATGTGGACACTTGTTAAGGTTTAACAAATTGATTTTTTAAAGTTTGTTTAGTATTGCTAAGTTATGTTTTTACTAATCTGTAACAAAGAAGTAATTAATGATTTGTTGGTAATTCTGAAATGTAGTTTGAATAATCAACAGGTACCTTTCCTTGAGGTACAGATTTTGATGAAATTGTAGTAATATATTTTTGCACAATGTTGGTAATTTTAATGACTTTACATAAAGTTGTTGGAAAGTATTCAAAAATGTTGTAATAATTATTTTTAATATTCAATAAAAAAAATGATAAAGATAAAATAAAATATTGATGCTAATGTTTGTATGAAGTTGTATCAATAGATAAAAGATGTCGCCGTTGCTTTCTCTTTTTCTTATTGAGGTTATGGGATATGGAAACAACCATTTGTTGCGTTCTGTATGGAAGTTGTAAGCTCGACGTAATTCGAAGTCATCCAAGATTTGCATAACTTCCATAGAGTTAATTGAATGCATTCGAGGTCAGCAAGGCATTATTGTTCTGGCGCAAAGTTTCAATTAAATCCGACCGAAAGGAAGAAGAAAGGGGGGGAAAGGAAACCTAAATTGATGTCGTCTGTCTGGCGAAATAAAATACGTCCTTCCTATTTATTCAAACTTTGTCTTTGACTAATAAAAGAATATGTATAGAAAAAAAACTGTAGCAATGGATGATGTATAGCATATTGCGTACTGAATTGAGGAATTAAATACATAAAGGTCGATTACTTAAGTCGAATGATAAACATTGCAAAATGCTTGTTAAACAGTAATGATTCAAATATACTTTACAATATGTATTTGTTAGAAGGTTTTCCTAGCTACAAAGAGTTAAAAGTGAACTCTTTGAGGTAATGAGAACGTTCAGCCATTAACATTATATGTATTCCTAATATTAGAATTCACCCTCTCCCATCTGCTCATCATCTATAAATCCATGAACAATATTAGAATTTGTCATAATGTTTGCTGAATATGCTTTGGGCTAATAGGTAGAAAAGTTTGATAGTGATTGGTTATTAGATGACAGTACAGCGTAACTGTCAATTGGAATTATGTAAAGTTCTACCAAGAGTACCAAATTAGTTAAATTGATATTTCTATATTTTGTTATGTAATTATGTCTTCAGACAAATGTAGAAAGGTTCTTACAGTAAGAGAGTAACGAATCCATCAATTGTAAGAAAATAAACATAAGGATAATGTGAACACTAAAGTGTCATTTTTTAAACGAAGTTGTCAACAGACATCTGTCAATGTCAGATATTGTAAATATGTTTGAATTATGTCATTTTTGTTAATATGATTGTGACAATCCGAAATAATTAAATGGAAAGACAATTATAATTAATAAAATTGATTAATTAGTCGATTAATTACGAATTGCCAATCTAATTAAATATATTTAATTAGAAAATATTGTGTAATGTGTGACACTTTGCATTGTCACAATTCGCGTAGCAATTAGCACGGCTTAATGATAATTTGTGCAAGTTTCAATTAGATTTGAAGAAGCCGGAGAAAACGAGTCCATTGCAATAATATCTTCTTTACCATCGTTTACCATGGTCTTCCTCGTGTCGGTCGGCGTTTGCGGTTCCGATGTTTTGTCAAATACAATGCGTTATTATTTCTGTTTTTACTTTCCATCACGTAACGACAAGCGATGGAGCGTCTTTGCGTTCATTTTCTTTTTCCGTTCATGGACGTCGTTCGTCGTTTCATCATCCTCTTTGGGTAATCGCGTCGATACCCATTCCCAATTAAATTTGTTGCTACAAGCCATTCGGAGGGAGCGGATCGAAGAAACCGACGACAATAGAATGCGACAGAACTAAAGATTTCTAATTAGAAACCGTGCAGCAGCAGCAGCAGCAGTGAAACAAAAAACAAAGAGAAAAAATGAACCGCGAACAGCGATCAATACAACAACAAAAATGTCACACAATCTGCATACTGCCAATACTGTTCCGAACGTTTCCAATTTCCCAGAGAGAAATTCCAATCGGTCAATGTTTCCATCGCAATCGCAAGAATAAACTCTTTCTAAATTATTTCTGCAACGCGAACATTTGCATTTTCTATGTACATTTCATTATTTCAAAGCACCTAAATTTTCTGTTTTAAATTTACACTACACAACAACTAATTGTAATTACTATCATTAACAAGACGTGTACATTATAATCAATTTGCATGTTCCCTTGTTAATTGCAACATTAAATTAATCAGTAGTTACAACTACAAATAATCATTTAAAATATAAGGAAAATCTTCAAATAAAATACAAAATTGTCACTACATTCAATTTGCCCCATTTTTTATTCCTAAATTTCCACTCCTTATATTTTCAATTCTAGGTAATTTTGATAAAGCCTCTAATGTAAATGGGCCATCATTAAACAGGTTGTATTATCTGTATGTGTTTAGAAGGTTTTCCTGAACATGATAACATTTCCGTTAACATTTCAAATAAAGATTTACCGTTCTTAATTTACTAGCAATACCATCTGTTTTTAGTAGTTTTCCATCTTATCTAGTAATCAGACTTAAGTCAATACTATAATGTTTTTTACATTTGAATATATAGAGTTGTAATAGATAGAGTTGTAATAGATATATTTCATCTTGTCTTGAAAGTCCCTCATCAAGATCTTGTTTACTCATGTAAGGTGAAGTAGTAATGATTCTAGTTCAATATCATGATGAAAACCTTGATCATAGATCGTAAGTGGATGCTGAATTCCAATGAGCTTATATCCATACGGTTTGTCAGATGTATTATTATCTTAATTGTTCATGTTATTGACCTTCTGGCCCTCGTACAGTTCCTCAGAATGAGCACGAGTTTTCATAATCTTATCAACTTGTTTTGTTAGTGGCGTAGCTAGAAATATCAAGCCTTTCCGCAAGAATGGTCGAATTTTTGTTCCGCATTAAAGTTGTTGTTATTTTTTCTAAGAATTTGTTTATGGAAAATGTGTTTGGGTAATTGTAGAGAAACCAGCAGTTTTAAAGAAAAACCTTTGGTTTATAGAAAGTTTTTACAAAGTCACGATTCTGTTGAACATTGAAATTGAATCGTTAATTTAACGTTTACAATTTAAAATTTGATAATTTATTTTAAGATGAAAGTATAAAATTATTATTGCTTTACTTATACTAATGTTAATGAAACAAAGTATAATAATCATCTCGTGTATATAAGTTACTTGGGAAGTATCGCGTAGTAATTTGTTAATCAACATTACGTATTTGAAGTCATGAGATCCGGAAAATCTACTTTCCTTTCATTCTGTAACTAGAGATCCGCACGTTGACGTATACTTCGTTTTTACATTGTTGTTGGTTTTATTTTATTTTTATTTTCGGTGATTCATTCGTTGCGGAGGAAATTTCACAACTTAGAAAGTTGCATTTCTCCAAAAGGAGCGCGCATGCTCTTCGCACTCCGGCAATATCAAAATTCACCGAGCCGCCGCTTCCCGTTCTTCGTGCACCGGAGGATTACCAATGTTTTATATGTATTTACCTGCGGTTAAATGGAATAATGATACGACGACCGCAAGGGCTGCGAGACCCAGCAGAAGTCGGCGTCCTCGAGAAGTCATTGCTAACACAGAAGAAACTGGTAAACTTTCTTTAAGGGGTCAATAATCACTGCACATCATCACCATCCAATATGTGGAAGTTCATGCGATCGATTTCAATAGAAAAGTTTTAATCCAGAGGTGGATGGATGGATGGATTGGCTTTTAAATCGCACACTCGTTTTTCTGAGATGCAGCACAAACGGTATTTGGGTCACGACCTCTTCGCGACTTCCGCGAATCCTAAATCCCAATGGAAAAAACAAAAACAGGACGAACGCGGATTAAGGGCACGTCCTCACTTCTTCGAGCACTTTCCAGCAGGTTTCGCCCTTGCGACTGGCACTGAGGAGGGTTCTCAGACGTCGACCACCGAGGAATTTAACAGTTTCGATGAAGAACCACTAGTGGTAACGGGTCACTCGTGACGTGTTTGCCGCGTACCAGCGGACACTGTACAGTCTCTTACCTGCAGAAGAGGTAATTTCTTCGGAGCAGGTGGGGAAAAAGAGCGTGCGAGTGCCCTCTCCTTTTGCCTCTTTCAAACGCAACTCTTCGTGCGTTTGTGTTCCTTGTTTTGGACAAGATTGTACGTCGGCCCACCTACTTTCGGCCCACCAGAAGACTCTTTTTAACAATTTTAGCGGGCCCAGGCATTCCTCTTCTTCATCGTGATCATACGACGCCGACTGTACCACGTTTTGACCTGCGCTAACACATTTCCACATGGATTCCTTACCTTGAAATTGACCCATATTCCACGAAAATTAATAAAATTATTATTAAAAAAAAATTTATGCACGCACTCGGAAGATTTAATATACACTCATCCTAATTACGATCCAATTACTCGCATTTATTATCCGTACAACTGTTTCATTTGATTATGGTTCCATTCATATAGTATTTAGTTGTTAAGTAAGAAAAGCAATGTATGAAGCGCAGTGAAACTCGAAATGCTTTCATAATTAATTCCAAGAAATTACAAAAATATTCTGAAACAGAAACCATCTCGTTTTTCCCGTAAACTAACATCATAAATATTTCAAGCCATGAATCAAAGATTACAATTTCATATTTAAATGTTACAATATTTATATTCACTTTAACAATGTACATAATAATAATTAATAATAGTATTTTTCTTATAATTCTATAAATTTCTTTAAAGAAATATATAAGAAATATCTACGTTTTAAAATTGTAAAATAAGAGCGACATGCATAATTTATTAAAATATTCAATACATGTTAGTTCGAAGATTCTAAATATTTGTCTAAATAAAATACTAAGAACACAAAACTGGCTTACCAAGAAGTAAATAAAATCATGCCTCCATGTACAAAATATTAAATAATACTCTTAATCAACATTACATCATTTTATTGATGCTATGATCCAGGGCCGCCTCAGCCATTAGGGATTATTTTATTGTGAAGTAAAAGATGTTGTAAAAATTGATCTTGTTAAAGAAAACTTTAATTATTAGTACAGTAATACCTTGACTAGTACGACTTCGATTAGCCCGGAATGAAATATACTAAATTATATTACTCATTAACAATTGTAAAGCACTATAAGAAACGTTAAAATGATCAATGTGTAATATACACAATCTGGCTTCAATGAAGAAGATTACGGATTTGGAAAAGGTATTTAACAGCGACAACAAGTGAATAAAAAAATATATGTCAATGTTCCGATGCGCTGTCATGTTACATAAAGCATCTTCGTTTTTCGTGTCAATCTCTTTTTCTCTGTTCTTACCACGGTTGTGTTTCTCTTCAAATTTCTGGTTTGTAGTTAGATCGACTCAATCGTTCTTCGGTGCGGACGTGCATGGAGATGGCATATGCGTCTGCATGTGGCAAAGAGAAAGACAGAGTGAGAAAAAATGCGAAGAGCATTCGATTAATGGCAAAACGTAATGGCTTCGGTGCCGTTGTTCGAGAGGTATTGAAGCATGGAGCAAACGTAATTCCCATTCCCCATTTCTGGACATGATGTTCGGTTACGTTACGTTACGATACGTACGTAGAGTTCACGCACCGAGACCAGGGGAATAAACGATGTTCATTAGAAACGTATTCAAATTACATTAAATTGACCGTGAAACGAATCTGGCCTTATCAAATAAAAGGAGACCACTTTCTTCTGTCTCCACCGATCCACTCCATCTGTCCATCATTGATAACGAATTCTTAATGCGGAAATTTCACTTTTTCTCCATTCAAACACGCTCAATTTAACAGGGAGTCTTCTCTGCACAGATAAACAGAAAAAACTATAATGATGTTGTTTTTCCAGTGGCAGATATTCAAGGATTTTCACTCAACTCGCATTCGATGAACTAGTTTCTTAGTCCAGTTTAAGTCTTGAATACTATTAACATATTTGGAAAATTACATTAAAATACTTGGCACATGTCAAGTTGTTTTAACAATTGATGAAAATAAACCGTTGTAACTTAAATTTCTGTGATGAATTTTGCTGCAATTTATCTACTTTAAAAACACCAAGATTTAAATCAAGTTTATCGATAGTTACAAATTATTTATAATTGGCTCAGTTTTAACTGTTTATGATATCTTTAAATCAATTTTTTACGAAGAACACAAAAAAATATGTCAATTCTACGATATAATGTGATTCAATTTGTGTACTTTTAACAAAACCACTAATTAATGCTTACAAATAGAGCAGTTTTTAAGAATATATAATTAAAAAGAGAAGGTACTTCATTTAAACTTAGTTAATTAACAGTTACAATCGATCTATGATTGGATTTAACTCAGTTTTTCGTAGGATAGATGACAGTTACCGTTGCATCAGATAATTATCTTAACATATTTAACAACGGATCAATTAACTGTATAAGGTGAAAATCATTTATTTATAAAATAATAATTGTGTATACAAATAGAGTTTACTATAGTAAATCCTGACTGATCGAAGCCGCAATGTGTAGATAAAAAATGTTTTTAATTATAACTTAAAAAATTTAGTTAGTCATTCATATATTAACAGTCAATATATACAACATATATTGAAAATATCTGCATATTTAGTAATGCGTTTCAAAATCAGAGATAGTGAGAACAATGTACAACACTTTCTCTCATTCTTAGTAGCTGGATTCAAACTAAATCTGATTGCACTGAAGTTGTAGGAAAGCAAAGGAAAGATCGACACGAGTTAAGATCGATTTGGGAGTGTTGACTGTACATTGTGAGTGGCGAACTTTCACTCGTTTCGTGTACGTCAGAATGAGTGAGCTAAATCCGGGGGCGTTAAGTAATACCCGGATAGTGGGTACGTGTGATGGCCCCCATGTGATGTGTGACAGGACCTTTTCGGAGTCACTCCGTTACGCTTTCCAAATATACTAAACTTGAAGTCAAATTAGTTTTTAAGGACAACCCTTTTTTTCCATCTTTACAAAAAGATACACTTAATTTCTATGGCTATTTGACAAGGTATTACAACATAAATTATTTAAAAACAAAGAAAAATCCGGAAAAAAATACCCTCTAGTGTTTTTACTAATTATTTAACTTTTCTTGAAAATTATTACAATTTTTTCCTCAAATTGTTTAGGAACAAGATACATCCATTTAAATATAAGAATTTGTAAGTGTAGAGAATATAAAACAAAATATATTAACAAATAGATGTGTTGAGCACATTAGAAATTTTTGTTCAAATCTGATATTGCTTGTAAGTTTTGGATACTTCCTACAATGAAGTCCATAGTTATGTCAATATTATAAGTATTATGAATATATGAAGTCTTTGGTTTTCTTGTCCATCTTGGAAACACCAATTTACATTAGAATTATAATAGAACATAGAGCTACTTGAAGAAGTAACGGTGATGATATTTGATAAACATAAATAAACATTCTTTTATAAATAATATTAAATTTATTCTTTTGTAAATAATATTCTTTTGTATATTCATAATAAATTAAAACTAACTAAGTGCCATCTACAGTATTACTAATGTATCTTATGTACTTTGTCAAGTACTTGAGTACTTGTGATTGTATAGTGTGTTGCATAGGTAACACATGCACTCACTTGACACGAGCAAACAAGTTAGTTATTTGTTATTTAAGGTTATGTTTGTGACTAGTTGAGATTTAAAATTAAATCAACATGAATCCATTAACGTAAGTTAAATAATATTAAAGAAATTAATTAAAACTTAACAATTATTTTATTTTTAGTAATATGAAAAATGTCCTCAAATTGAGTGAACAAGAATTGCACTCTACAAACAAAACTTCTTGGCATGACCAGTACAGAGACAGTGCCTGGATATTTGTAGCTGGCTTTCCGTATGATTTAAGTGAAGGAGATTTGATTTGTATGTTCTCACAGTAAGTGATAAATTAATTTAGTTGATAGGTTATAATAATATTAATTGTACATTTGCAGGTATGGAGAAATTGTGCACATAAACTTAGTAAGGGATAAGGACACAGGTAAATCAAGAGGATTCTGTTTCATTTGTTTCGAGGATCAGAGATCAACTGATTTGTCAGTGGACAACTTAAATGGAATCAAAGTATTAAACAGATCGATGAGAGTGGATCATGTGTCTAATTACAAAATTCCAAAACATGTCAGAGAAGAGGCAGATTTAAAATCCAAAGTTAATCCACCTGTTGAGAGTAGACCCATAAAGGCAGAACCCTTAGGACCCGTTGATGACTTCAGAGAAACACTGGCAGATCATATACAGGGTGAAATAAAACTGCCTCGACGATTACCAATAGGAACGGTAAAATTGGAACCAAACACTGAGGAAGAGGAAAAGGTTAAAACGAAGAAGCACAAGAAGGATAAGAAACACAAGAAGAAGAAAAGCAAAAAGAAAAAGAGGGCAGAAACTTCGGAGAGTGACAGTTCAAGTGACGACGATTCCAGCAGTAGCGAAGAAGAATACAGGCGAAAGAAGAAAAAGGAAAAATCTAGGAAATAAATTTTATTGTGTTAATTTTATGGCCCGTTTTTTGTTGTCTTCGTACTTGTACAAACGTCTTGTTACTTTGCATTTGTTGTTGTTTTGCAGCCAGTATAAGCTGAAATTCGATGGTCCGATGTGCATCATCCTGGCGCCACCCAAACACTCGTCGTTCTTATAAAATACAGCATATTGACCTGCAGTTAAAGCTCTCTTCTGAGACGACAACCAAACGACTAGACCCTTTGATGTCTCGCACAATTCGCAGTTGATCAAATCGTGCGTGTGCTGAAACTTAAATTGGCATTCGAAAATGTTTCCATCTAATAATTCCTTTGGTTGCTTGTTGATCCAATGAGGTTTCGAGGTGAAGAAAAGCGAGCTGTGGAAAGCGGAGTTCTTCGAGCCTGAAGCCTAAATTCCATAATAATAATAATATCTATATACATTTAATTTATGTAAATATTTACCACGTAAATTGTGTTAGTATCCACTTCCTTTTTGGCTACGTAATAAGGATTGGCGAAACCACCTAACTTACTTCTTTGACCTATCGTCCACTTGTGGATTCCAGTGTGTTGCCCAACAATTTTCCCAGACTCAATGTCAACGAAATTTCCAACTTTGTCGCTAATATACTAAGAAAATGAAAATTAATTTAAAATTATTACAATGGGAATTATTTGCTTACTTCTGATATGAAACCTTGAAAGTTTCTTTCACCAATAAAACAAATACCCATGCTTTCCTTCTTAGCAGCAAACTTCTCCAAACCATTTTTGGCAGCAATTTCTTTCACCTCTGATTTGAGAAGTGTACCCAAAGGAAACATTGTCCTTCTAAGGGCTTCTTGTCCAATTTGACACAAGAAAAAGGTTTGATCCTTAAAATCATCTTTGGCTCTAAGTAATTTTACATCTGAAAGTTCAATAATGCAATTATTGATAATGTACAAATTACATATTTTTTTTCTGTTAAAAAAAAAACATACTTTCATTTTCATTGAAATTCTCTAAGTAACTTCCAAAGTTTGTTCTTGCATAATGTCCAGTTGCTATTGCATCTACTTTAAGAACATCCCTAGCATATTTATAAAAGTAATTGAACTTGACATGTCTATTGCAAAGAATGTCTGGATTTGGAGTGTAACCAGTTTCATAATCCTTCAACAAATTCCTGTACATGATAATTGCAATACAATTGTTTACTCTTATTAATCACTTACAGAAACACCTCATTCCAATATTCCTTAACAAATTTTACATGTTTTAATGGTATTTTTAAGTTTTTTGCAACTACTTGGGCATCCTTGTAATCCTCTTCTGAGGAGCATTTTCCGAATTCATCTCTTAAATCCCAATTCTGCATAAAAACACCTTTAACATCATAACCTACAAAAGCATTATTTAAATATTATAGATGATTCTTAAACAATAGCACACCTTTTTGTTTCAATAAGAAAGCTGTAACTGCACTATCAACACCACCCGATAATCCAACTGCAACTTTCCTGATATTCAACATACTTCTTCCAGAATTACGGAAATTCGAATTACTACAGGCATGATATAAATATAGTCTATATACACATAATTGTGTTCGTTTGGTTGCATATCCTGTAATTAATATTTAATAAATATACACTATAACCTCAAATTTAATGTTGTCAACAGTTTAGGCAGCACCAGGAAAAAGCCTCAGAAGAAGATTTCTAGGTCAGTTATACAAAGAATGGCAGATCCAGGCAATGGAACATGTACTTTTATGTTCAAAAAGAGGACTGTGAAAAGTAAAGGCGCTCGGAAACGTCAACAATCATCGGATGAAGAAGGTATTTAATCAAATATATTAGCTTTTTCAACAGTATTCATACTTTTGTTTTAAGGTAACAGCAATAGTGAGTCAACTAATACTGTTGTAAAATCTACTGAACGGAAGAAAAAAATAAACCCCAATGTTCAAACTACAAATCTAAAGAAAAAACGAGTCTCCAACAGTAGTTCAAGTAGTGAAGATGAAGAACTGACCATCACTAGCTATAAGTCATCAAGATCTGCTATGGCAGCTGGTCCATCAGATCAAGGAGCTACAGCAATTGCAGTAAGTTATATATTATTATAGACCAATATATTATTATAGAAAACATTACAATTGCTTTAATTTTTTAATGGATTATTTTTAATTTTCAGGAATTTGACACAGAAAAAGATAGAGATGCTCAAGCAATATTTGAAAAAAGGCTAGAAGTTAATAACGATTTGGAAGGACAAGCTGATGATAAACTGTATAGAGGCATCAATAACTATCAGCAATATTTTAAACCCAAGGACACGGCGGCTGGAAATGCGAGTTCCGGTTTAGTTAGAAGAGGTCCAATTCGAGCGCCAGCGAATTTGAGGGCCACAGTGAGATGGGATTACCAACCAGATATATGTAAAGATTACAAAGAGACTGGTTTCTGTGGATTCGGAGATAGCTGTAAATTCTTGCACGACAGGAGCGATTATAAGCACGGATGGCAGTTGGAGAAAGAATGGCAAGCGGGGGAATATGGCCAAGATAGCGATGATGATAAAAAGTATGAAATTGATTCGGATGGAGATGATTTCCCATTCAAATGTTGCCTTTGCAGGGAAAGTTTCGTGAATCCCATAGTCACAAAGTAAGATGTAGTTATTAAGTGATTGCAATTATTTTACTATTGTTTTTTTTTTTTTTAATTTATAGATGTAAGCATTATTTTTGCGAGGAGTGTGCTTTAAAACAGTACAAAAAGACGACGAGATGCTTTGCTTGCAATGCGCAAACAAACGGTGTATTCAATCCGGCGACAGATTTAATAAAAAAATTGAAGAATATGGAAGAGAATAAGGAGGAGTCAGGCTCCAGTTCAGACTAATATTAGGTATTTTATATACAAATAATTATTCTTACAAAATATATAATACAAAACTTCTTTACTTTTAATTAATTCTCATCAGCTTCTGAATGAAACTATCAGAAAAGTTTTATTATCTTATAATTAAGATTTGAATAAGTTCCAAATGGTTTTGATTGCTTTGTCGCCCTGTCTAATTTTAGTTCAACGGCAGCACTTAGAGTGGCGCTACTAGGGATGAGCGCTAAATAACATAAATGTTGATTATTTCACATCAAAATCCTTGTTTTAACTATTATTAACATATTAATCAGTATGTTTAATTAGTGTATAAGTAAATAATTGTTTTGAATAGAAATATGAAGACTAAAATTATATTTCTTTACAATTGGCCATGATACGTAAGTACGTAAGTTTTTCGTATAAATTTGTAATAGATAATCATGAAATACGTTTTGTTTCTATCATCGTGGTGTGTTAATTTTAAAATCTTTTTAAATACAAATATGTATCAAAAAAAATAAGCATACAACTAGTTCTCTAATCACGATTGACAGGGACCTATCAAACTAAGAATCAGTGTTGTATAAGACTGTTCATTTTCTAGGAGAATGCAGTTTTAAAACAGTAAAAATTACTTTTAATTATAATAATCCAAAGTATTTTGTTAGTACTGCATTAATGTAATCTTGTATTATTAATATAATCTATTTAGGTTAAGTAGCTTTGTTTTATTTTAAGCTTTGAAGACAGCTCGGTAGAGGCGCCACTAGAGTTGCCAAGACGCACTCTTCATAGAGCTTTTGATACAGTACCAGCGGACCAGTGAATGCAGAATGCAGCGTAGATAACTTACAAAATATTGATATATTTTAGGAATCATGAGTGATGAGGTAATTTCTCAGCGTAAGTAAGTATAATAGATATTTATTTGAAATATTTTCAGGAATGGTCAAAATTTGCCAAACAGTATGATCCTGTCAAAATTGGTTCAATTGATGGAACCGACACTATCCCCCATGATCGCGCAATCGTAAGAGCCATCAACTCCGAATATTCCCCAAACAAATTTGTGAAAGGTAAACCTGAATGTACAATATTTGTAAGCAACCTAAGTCCAAAAACCACAAAGGATACATTGAAGGACCACTTTGTAAAGTATGGTCGCATAAAACGATTTCGTGTCGTTAAAGACATAGTCACAGGCTTCTCAAAGGGCTATGCATTTGTTGAATATGAGTCTGAACACTATGCAGAGGAGGCCTACAGGAGAGCGTACAAATCTGAATTGGATGGCAATGTACTATTTGTGGATTTCGAATGCGAGAGATTGTTAAAAGGCTGGAAACCAAGGCGACTGGGCGGTGGATTCGGTGGTAAAAAGGAGTCCGGACAGATGAGGTTTGGAGGACGAGACAGACCATTCAAGAAGCCGATACATCTGGAAATCAGAGAGAAGGACGAACGTCGGATGAGAGACGATCGTCGCAGAGATTATCGCAAACACGAAAGGCACAGACATAATTGAAATAATTTCTTATTATTGTTTGTTTCTGTAATAGTAAAAATATAATTAATAAGCATCAACATATTAATACAAATCTATAAATGTTACATAATATATTATGTGTCATCTTCATTAAATGGCAGTTTTATTTCTTCAGCGGAATCCAAGAGCTCGTAAATGTTCTCCATCAGAAATTTTCGAGTGTCTAAAAAAAATAAATTTTAAATACATTTTACTGTTAATGAAAATACAATCATACTTGGTCGTGCAGACATGGCGAAAAATTGCGATTTGTCCAATTCCTTGGTTTGGACTTTCAAATCCTGCGATTCCTTCTCAAACTTCTCTACAAACTTTTCATCATCTTTGTAGGGAAATAATGCCTGAAAAATAATACTTATAATTTCATTTAATCTCACTCAAATTCAATTACCTTGAATTTATCGAACAACTGTTTTGCGAGTTCTCGTATCATTTTGGCATCATCTTCAAAGGTAACTAATTCTTCTCCATTGTAATTCCAACTCTCAACGTTTCCAACGTATTTCAGCAATCTCTTGGTCATATCAAAGAATTGGGGATGCTTCAATAACGTCAATTGATCGACTTGCAGATCGGCCATGATTTTCAAATGTTTAATCGCCTCCTTGGGAAATGCTTTTTCCAAACCAAGAACCGTCTTTATGACCATCGTACAACGGTAAAGTTCGGTATCATTTTTGAGCCATTCCAATTTATCCTGCTTATACTTCAGAACATTCAGATTCATCTTGTTCTCGATTTCTTTGTCGTCGCACGGCTGTATCTCAAGAATAAGTTCGGAATCGACATGCTCGTTCTTCGACAACTTTTCCTGTAACTCCAGAATTTCCTCAGCATGTTTTCCATCTCCGATGCCGCGATCAAATTCCGACTCATAGTTTATCAATGGTCTCGGATTATATTTGATACCAACAAATTTGTCTGCAGAAATTTTCACTGGCAAAATATTTATCTTATCACCGTAGACATCTTCAATTGATTCAGGATCAGGTTTTTGATCTAAATAATGGAAGATAACAAGTTTATAAACGATTTTATAATTTAAACTTCATGTGTCACCTTTAAATATATCCTCTTTCTTTTTGATTCTCTCCGCCTGAAATTACAATGTTTTGGTTAAATTTCAATAACTGTTAGCTATTCGCACTTACGTATTTTTTTAACGCGTTAAAATAGAATTCAGGAATTAATTGGATATTACTATCATTAATATTTATTTGTTCATAAGTTTTCTTCGCAGAATCGTTTATCACATCTTTGACTTCACTATTTTCTTTATCATTATTGTTATCTATATTATTCACAATATTTTCATCTGATATTTCATTTTTGACAGTTTCATCTTCATCCATTGCATCCTCTTCAACCTTAGGTATTGCTTTTTCAATATTCTCCTTATTTTCATCATCTAGATTTTCCTTATCCTCATTCACTTCTACATTTTCTAAAGTGGTCTTTGCATTGACATCTAACTTCTCTTCATTATTTACTATTGGCTCCTTTTCAACTGATTCCTCTTCCTTAATTTCTTCAATTAGTTCTTCTTCCTCTTTTTCTACTTTCTGTTCCTTTTCAATATGCTCTTCAACCTTTTCTTCTTTTGCTTCCTTTTCTTGTTCCACTTTTTCTACATTATCAGAACTCTGATCAACTTCCACTTTTTCTACATTATCAGAACTCTGATCAACTTCCTTATTCTCTACATTATCAGAACTCTGATCAACTTCCTTATTATCCAAAACAGAATTTGTATTTTCCTTTGCAACATCATCATCTTTAGTATGCACTTCTGGATCCAATTTAATCATCTTTTCATTTTTACCCTCAACAGATATTGATGACCTCTTCCTCTTGTTTCCACCCTTTTTGACTTCTTCCTGTGTATCATCAAGATCTGTTGTCACATCTGTTGTATTCGATTCATTGTCACCGTCAGTTCCTGCTGCTTCAATATCAACCTCAATTTGATCAACTGCATCTTTATAGTCTTTACGTTTTGGGTTTTTTGCAAATTTTTCCTTGTGCTTAAGATAATAGAAAATATCTTCCGGTTTCAATGAACCACTAGAATGAAATAAACAATTAAATTAGAATAAAATTGAAATTTTTATGCTGGAAGTAATGTTCGAACACAATCGCACAGACTTTTTTGCCTCAACAAAGGTCTGTCGGCATATGCTGATATGATCTAGGAGTCAATTCAAGAAACAAATCTATGTGGAACTCAATTTAGATTTGTACTTGCGAATCCAATTTATATCTAATTAAAATCTAACATGTTCAGTTTCCTTACGTTTCATTAGTTCCATAAAATAGAACATTGTACTTCTTGCCAACAACTTTAACTATCTGGAAATATTAAGAAACAAAGTATATTTTAATCGAATCATGTAACGAATGTGGGGGACGACCGTTAAACAACTTTTGAGGTTAGATATATGTTTATGTATCTTACTTGGGCAGGCCAGGCCGGATATCCCTTAACTTTGGCAAACACCTTATCGCCGACGTTGAACTTCTTCACTTTCTTCATTTCAGTACGAATTTAAAGTAAATGAAATTAATGGCACACAAAAATAAGTAGGAGACAACGCTTATACCTTATTAGAAAACATTTAAAATGACAAATGACAACTAAACCTTGATGACTGGTTGCCTACTGGTCACCTGATTTCATTAAATAACCCTTTGTTAACAATTGAATTGAATATAATACGTTCATAATGAAACTATGCTTAGTAAGCATCAATCATTAATGTTAAAAAAAATTATCTCAAATATGTTGAGAGCAACAATATTGTTAGTAATCTATAATTAATCAATTGATCATAATGTTTATTTAAGGTTTAGTATAAATACAAGCAGGGGAGAATCATGTATAGGAGCTGGGTGGCATCTATATTTCTATAACTGGTTCAATAATTGTTTTAGAAAATATGTTTCTTGTAATTATTCACTTTTTATTATCTATTTCCAATACGTTTTTTGGTATAATAAAAAATGAAGTATTTTGTGGAAATATTATATAATGCAAGTGATGAGTCACGTGCACTAGCAATCTTGTTTGTTTACCGGGTATCTTGGTTATTCAAAGTTGTTTTACCTGGTTTTAGCACTCTAAAACGTATTGAAATACTGTCGAACATCTTCGGCAAAGATCGATTAAATACTTTAGCTGTATTGTCTGTTTGTAAGGATTATTTACAAGAAATTTAATCATAAAATTATTGAGAAATTTGCTTATTTTAAACAAAGAGGAGCAGAATATTTATATTAATAAGTTTGTTTACTTATTTAATTACGTAAAAAAATAAAATTTATGATTCTTCTGCTGAATTTGTTTATATTTATAAGATCTTTTAGTTAATCTGAATTAAACTTTTTTAAATTTTTCTCTATAACTCAATAATGTATATACAAAAAAGCTGCTACTACCAATACAAAAATATACAAGATACGAAAATCTTCTTTCGCGCATGTTTTTTGGTGACGGTAAAAGTACGTTTAAGTTTGTATCATGCAGAAGTATCCTACTTTGTTATAGTACAGTTTAATTAGATAAATTTAAAAATATATTTGTATCAGGAGAAAATTAAAATCAATCTCCAATTGTATTAGACAAATACCTTTTGGATATTTTATCTAAGAAATGAGTATTTTAAAAGTATGATGGAAAGATATATGTCTAATAACGATTTAAAAAATAATTATATTTTATAAGTAGAAAATAAATACGAACAATAATAAAACGATCAAATAACTTAAAAATACTTTTTAACGGAAAATCGTTTCTTGCCTCCTTTTGGCGTAACTGGCACGGCATTCTGAAAATAATTGTAACACGTTAGAAAAGGGGGTTTGCATATGGTTTATTAATATACACATAATTTTAATATAATAAACAAAAACTGAATACAAAGAATGAAGCTATGACCGCAAGATCCGTTTCGAATAATCGAAATACGTATAGCATTCTCATTCTTTGTATCAATCTTTTGCACAGCTTGCAACTACGGAGTTGTTGGTGAATGGGAGTCGGGTATTTGGAGTGACAACTACATGGACATATATTCCGAGGGTTTCTGCATACCTCTGAGGATTCCTTTAGACTGCTCCGCGAGAAAAGCGACATCAACTTGTTGGGTGTCGTTCTCTTCGGCGTTTTATCAGCGTTACTATCCCTAAGCACGTCTCTGGGGTGTTGTTCACTGCCCTGCAGAGATAACCTACCCCCGTGTTTACTTGGCGTGGGTGGTCCTGGTTTCTTATAGGTGGTGGTACCGGCGTCTTTTTTCTTAGGTTTATCAATTGGCAATAGTTTCGTACTCATGCTGTCATCTAAATCTAATTGTCCGGTCTAAAATATTGAAAGTATTATATAAAAGAAGAAAACAGAAAATACGCAATTCAACAAACCTTAAGATCGTCGTCTCTATATCTTTGTGGATTTAGGAATTGTGTTTCCGCGGGATATGAAGACTTCAGATGAGGAGGACACAAGGAATTCCTGTAAGCCAACTCCGACATCCTGCTTGATGTAGAATCTCGGCCACTGGCTAAATTACATTTGCCCTCTTTCAGATCCAAAAGGAACTTGTTGTTGAATAAATCGCACTCGTCTTCCATGTCGATAGGCGCTATGTACATATAAAGTTACAAAACTGTTTATAAACGTGTATAGTTTAGAATTTACCTGGTGCTACGGCGTTAATACTAGTTCTCCTGGAGATGTGGACTTCCTCAATGATATCCATAGAGTTGACGTTCCTTGGTAAAGTTGCGCATCTTCCACTGCGATCATCTACTGCACGAACAATGTCTCTGCCCAAACTTTGTGTGCTCGCCCGTTTACCAGACATACGAGAGTCGTAAGATTTTCCAATAGCCGGTAGACTCTCCCTGGAAGAGTTAATGTAGAATGACTCTTTGGAGCCGGTGAACCTGTCACCGGTCTCTAATTTTTGGTACACGGACAATTGCTTCAAAGCCACGGTTTTCTCGGACTCTACACTACGTAATTGAAATTCGTACATCTTCAATTCACTACGTAATTTCTCAACGGTTTGAGCCAACGCCACCTAAAATAATGAATTACAATTAATAACAATTACAATCACAAACTATTATAGAACGTACATTGTTTTGTTTTTCTTCCTGAGCCTTCTCCAACTGCTTGTCGGACTCCTGCTTGTACATTTCTATGACTTTGTTCTTCATTTTCTCCAGTTTCACTTCATATTCCTCGCGCACCTCTTGGATTCGCTTTGACACATCACTACTTGACTCTTTTTTAAGTAACCTTACATACTCTTCGCGATCACGATTCCTCTTATATTTCACCGTATCGATTTCAGACAACAACTTATTGTTTTCTTCGAAGAGCTTTTGGTAAGCTTCCTTTATGGAATGAAGATCAGCAAGTTCGGAATTCCTGTCGTCCAACATTTTTCTGAGAGTGGAAATTTCGCGTTCATCCTGAGATTTGTCATTTAGTACATGCGTGTAAGCTGACCGAATGGAATCCAACTCCTTTCGCATATCCTCGTTCCTTTCAATAATGTGGTTATGATCACTCATCCTGTACTCTTCAAATTCCTGACATACCATTAGGTACTTGCTTTCATGATCCTTAAGGATCTTAGCTTGCTCTTCTTTACTCTCCAAATGCTGTTGCAGTAAAGCTTTATATTGCTTATCGTTGTTGGTAGCAACCTCTTGTGGTGTTTGCTGCAAAAGCTTTTTATTTTCATCTTTTAACTGTCGATTTCTCTTCTCGAAATTGTTCTTTGTATTCTCCACTAACGTCATGCGCTGCTTCAACGCCAAATACTTCCTTCTCCAATCATCTTCCCTCGTCACTTTCGATTGATGTGGGACATTCTCTTTCAGTGTGCGTTGGTTACTCACTTTACAATCAATTTTCTCAACATTCTTTTCAAATATTTTTAATTCTTCCATTGTATTAGTAACATTATGCTTTAAATCATCAAGTTTCTCCAGAATTTCTGTGATATCGAGATCTTTGAACATAATTTTCCACTTGATTGGTTTATTGCTCAGAATTCCGTTAACCGTTTTTTCAAAGATTTGGCAAGTGTTCAATGAAATGTTGTAAGCCATTTTCGTATATCTACTAAATTGCTTCTGAATGTCCTCGATGATGGTCTCTAGAGCTACCCTTTGCTCGTAATGATTTTTGTGGGACTCTTCTGTTAAAAACGATGATCGAATTTGTACCGCGATGTTACATTCCTTCAAGGCTGTGACGGCAGATTCCAAAGAATTCCTTTGAGAAATCATAGAATCTATATCCTTTTTCACCAATTTCAGTTGTCCAACGAACTCCATGTAATCGGAATAAGTTTTATCATTTGATGCTTTTAATTCTTGCAATTTAGCAGTAAGCTCTTCACTATTATCGCTTTCACATTTCTTTTTTAGCAATTCATATTGAACATTCACGTTTTCCAAACACTTACTTTCCTTGTCCTTTTCAATTGCCAGACCCGTCTTCTCCAAATGCAACCGCTCATAATTTTGAATTAACTTCGTTTTTTCCTCTTCCAAACTTTCGTTAACTTTCTCCAAACTGAAAAGTTTGTTAGTAACTTCCAACTTATCGCGCTGCAAAGTTTCTATGACTATATCTAACTCACGCATGTTGGCAAAGATACGAATCAATTTGTCTTCAACTTCGACAATTAGCTGATCTAAATGCTCGCTATCCTCGATATCATCTTCCACTGGAGTTTCACGAATAGCAAATATTAACCGATTTATAATTTCTTTCAACTTTTTATTAGTCAATTGATGTTTATGCCTGTCATCAGTAACTTCCAAAAGTTGAAGTTCAAAGAATTTCTTGGCCTTTTGCTCTTGCTCTAAAAGAGACTCGACCTCTTTCTTAGCTTCAATTTCGTATTCCAAATGTGAAATTCGAGACATCAAATCATTTTTAACGTCGACCGCATTATCGTGTGCACGTAACAAATTCATTTCCGTATCTTCGATTAATTTTGAATGATTCTCGAAGATCTCTTCGCGCGATCTCTGCACATCCTCCAACTCTTTGGCAGTTTGACTTAGTTTATTTTGAAGTGCTTTTTTCTCTGCTGAAATCTCTTCAAGATTGGACATTTTCTTCTGCAGCTCGTCCTGCAAATTGACCAAAGCAGATTCGTGGTCGGATAAGCAACTATTCAAAGATTCGTACTTGTTTCTCATTGCGCATAACTCATCCTCTTTTTCTCTGATAGTCCTCTCAATATCCTGCTTTTCCTGCGCCGATGATACCAAATCTTCTTTCAAATGTTCATAATCGGCTTGAAGAGTAATCATCTCCTGCTGAATCTGAAGATATTTACCTTTGACATGTTTGAAAGCGGATACCTTCTCCACTAACTTTCTATTACTGTCTTCCTCGATCACTTCCAAACGACTTTCAAATTCTTTAATAATTTCTTTTTTCTCGAAATCCATGTTACTAACAATGTTTTTTATAGTTTCTATCTCTTCAGTATACTCTTGAATCTTCAGTTCTTTAACACCGATCGTAGCCACCTTATCGCACAATTCATTCTGCAATTCTTTAATTTGAATTTCGCACGTTGAAATTTCCTGTCTATATCTGTCATCGCGTTCTTGTTTCTCGTCCACCAAATGATTGTATTTGTACAACAAGTCTTCATAGCGTTCTTCAAACTTAATTTTTCCAGTTTCCAAAATGTCGTACGCGCACTGCAGTTGGGAGAATTTAGTCTTCGTATCTTCAGTTGTTTCCAATTGATTCTTCAAACTGGATTGCTCAAATCGCAACTTAATCAAAGTCTCTTCAAACTCTGCAAGTTTATTGCGCAAATTGTAAATTTCATTATCTCTTTCTTTGATATCATCAGCAAACTGCAATTTTCTATCGGCCAAATCTGATACTCGTTGCCTGAGAGACGTTTCTAATTCAACAATCTCAGCTTGATGATCTTCTTTTACTTGTTTCAATTCATTTACTGAACAATTCAGTTCACTTCGCAATCTCTCTAGATTTGAAGCACTCTCCTTGAGGTAATTTTCATGCTCAATATTCAGGTCATTGTAATTATCTTCAAAATCTTTGTTGCTTTTAATCAGACCTTCGATTTTCATAAGCAGATCAGTTCGCTCTTCTATAACTTCATTTAATTTTTCCTTAACCTTTCCTACTTCAACTTTGTATCCTTTCAAATCGTCAATTTCCGCTTGATATTTTTCTTCAGCTTCCACAAGATCATCTAATTGCTTCTTATAATCTTCTGCAGCAGCCAAACAATCTTCGTCGTATTGCTTTTTGGTTCTAACCATTTCAATTTCCAATTTTTGTTTTTCATCTTCAACCACTCGAAGACACTGCTTAGTGTCGTTCAATTCATCCACGATTCCAGCGTGTTTAGCATCTAAAATATTGTATTTCGTAACCAGATTATGCAAATTTTCGGAAAGCGAATTCATATGCAACTCATTTTCGATCTTCAAATCCTTTTCACATTGCAAGGCTTCTGTACATTTGCTCATATTGAAGCTCAATTCCTCTCGAAGCATTTCAATCTCCTGCAAGTTACTAATTTTTTGCCTTTTCAATTCATCCAATTCCAAATTTTGATTCACCATCTGATCATTCAACTTGCGAATTTTAGACTCATTTCCAGCTGTAATCGTAAAACGTTCTTCGTTAGCTTCCTCTAATTGACGATTAGATTCTTCTAAATCTTGACGCAATTTCTCTATTTCCAATTTCGTTTCTTCCTTTACTTTCTGTAGTTGTTCAACGCTTTCGGCTAATTTTTTATTTTTATTTGCTAATTGATTAAACATATCCGAAACGTTGCTTTCAAGCTCGGTATTTTTATTTTTGGTGGCGCTTGTTAGTTTTTCCAAAATATCAATTTCCACTATGAGATTGTTCAATTTTGTCTTCAAATTTGAGTTCTCGTTAACCACACCATCTAATTGAAGTTTTATTTCTGCTTTTTCAGAGTGCAAATTTTCCGTTTTGTCCTTCAAGTATTTGATATCTTCGTGTTTATTTTCTAATTGCAACTTCAGAGCCAATAATTCTTTGTTAGCTTTCGAAATCACATCATCCTTGTCTAAACATTGCTGTTCTTTCATAGCTAATTTATCAGCCAAGTCCATAATTTCATTCTTGAGTGCATCGCATCTTTTCATGTAATTTCTCTTCTCTTCATTCAAATCTGCGAGTTGTTCTTGCAATTCATCCTTTTGACTGGACAGACACTTCCTTTCGTTGATACATTTCTCATAGTCCACCGTTAGATTTCCCAGTGTCGACTCCAGAAGGTCAATTTTCTTTCGTAGGTCCTCACTCTGTTTAATAAACTCAGTTTCAATTTGCGATTTTAACTTAGACACATCCTCGAGCTGTAATTCCTTTTGTTTACATTGATCTTCGGATATGTTTAAGTCGGCCTGCAAAACTTCAATACGTTTCTCGTAATTTTCAATCGAATCGTTAAGTTTGTTAATTTTCTGCAATTGTTCATGACTCTTTTCCAAGTATTCATCTTTCATCAATTTAGCTTCTTCTCCAATTTTCAATAATACAGCTTCATTATCAATTTCTTTTTGTTGGAATTCGTTGTTCTTCAACATAATTTCTTCTTTATATTCATTAACTTCTTTACTCAATTTACTTCGAACACAATCCAATTCTTCTATTAACTTTTTAAACTTCTCCTCTTCGCACATTTTCTGTTTAAGTTCTTCCTCTTTTACTTCATATTTGTTCTTAAGTTCACCGTTGTGTACTTCAAGTTCTTCACACTTTCTCGTAATAACCATCTGCAGCCCTTCTAGATCTAAAATATTAACTTTCAAATCTCCAATAACATTATTCAATTCTTCGATTTTTTTGGTTTGATCTTCAATGGTGACATCCAATGTCAGAGCTTGTTGCTTTGCTAAATTCAATTCCAAAGAAAGTTTATTTACCGTTTGAGTGCTTATACATTCACGTTCTTTTATCAGATTCACTTCCTCCTCTAATCCTTTGACCAATTCTCGACTTTTGCAAATCTCTATTTTATAATTATTTTCCTTTGTTTCAATAGAATCCTTTAATTTACTTAATAATAATCCAAATGCGTCTATACGATTAGTAAAATCAATTTCTTCAACGCCAACTATCATCTCCAAGTTCTTCAAATTTAATTCAATTTTTTTATCCAATTCTTCATACAACTTTTGGAAACTTTCAGCCTCAAACTGTTTATGCTTATAATTTTCTAACATTTCTTCGTATTTCTTTTGTAAATTATCAGATTCTATTTTCAATGAATTATATTGGTCATTTCGTAGTGTTAAGTCATCTTGTAAAAGATCGTAAGATTTTTGTAAAGTAACCAAATCGTTTCGAATGCTAGCAACTAAAAGGTCACTATTCTCCAACGCCGATTTAGTATCGAATAAACTATTTTGCATCAGATCCAAGTCTTGTTGTTTCATCTCGTTGTTCTCAGTTAATCCAGCAACTTGCACTAACAATCCTTGATTACCAAGTTCTAAATGTTTTTGAGTCTCTGTAAGGATCAACACTTTGGATTCCAAATCGTTATTAGATTTTTGTAAATCGGCGAAATTATCATTCAATTTTGCAAAGTCTTCAGTAACCTTACTAAGTTCTTGTTCCAATAGTTTACTTCGCCTCTCGGATTCCATAAGAGTACTTAGTAAGGTATCGTTTTCTTGTCTAACTTCTAACAATTGTACTTCAACCACGCTGCACGCCAAATCTTCATAATGGCTTTCATTTTTAGGCGATTTAAAAGCTTCAGCTGATACATCTAAATATGCACTAGTATCAGTCCTTTTTAAGGACTTCATTTCTTCAAGTAAAGCATTTAATTCGTTGCAGTTAATGCGCAAACTATTCAATTCGAAATCTTGGGCTTTGCTTTTATCATTCAAACTATCACATTTACTCTCTAACATTAGAGCTCGTTCTTGCCAAAGACAACTTTCCTCTTCGCTTTTTTGTAACTGAAAATAATATGAATAAAAGAAAATGTATTTAAATTACAATAAAAATTACCTTTTTAAGCAGTTCTTCTTTCTTATTTTGTAAATCTTCTTGCTCACTTTGAAGCTGCTGTATATAAGCTTGTGAATCCTGCAATTCAGCCTTCAGCAATTTTTCTATTTCCATCAACTCCCTCGATTTGTGTGGTGGATCTCTGCTGTCAATCTCAATCAATTCTGAGTGTAGTTTTGATATTGTTACTGACTTATCGTTCAGCTGTTGAGAGATCTTTTTCAATTTTCCTTTGTATTCGTTCACTTCCATTATCATATCTTCTTTCTCATACTTTTCTGTTTGAAGTTCCATGCGTAACTTCTTGATCTCTCTATCTTTTTCTTGTAAGCGGCCGCTTTTGTATGCTGGTGTTCTCAAGAAATCATGTAAGGGACTTCCTAGAGCTGGTGAATCTCCACCAGAATGGCAAGTAAATAGGCGAGGTGTTCTGCAGCTTACAGAACTTTCCTTATTTTTAACAGCAATTTTCATGATTTTCTTCAGATCCTCCTCATTTGAATGAGTACTTATACCTTCCAGAAAACTTTTTATTGACAGCTGAGTGTCTTCTGTAAGGTTTGAACAAAGGGGTGCAGTTAAAGTTTCTCGTCTATCATATACACAAGCATAGTGCATAAGAAGGGAAGCTAATACTGTTATATCACAATCTGATAATTTTGGGTGATTTTGAATATTTACATTTGGGTACTGCATTTTTAAGAAAGATTGAAATTCAGGTAAAAAGTTGGTTATCGTTGTTTTAGAGCTAAAAATAAATAATTTAATTAAAAACTAAACAACACTCATTTATTACAACTTACAGTAGTCGAAAAATGTTGATGAAAAATTCTCCATTCTCCAAATCTCTAACAGTTTCCACATGTTTTGCAATGCCTAAACAATTGACCTAAAGCAAAATAGCAAACAAGTTTAATTACTATTCTTTTTTTTTGTTCTTTATAAGATGTACATACCCATTCGATGAGGACAATTTCCCACTGTATCATGAAACACTTTGTCTCCGGATCACACATATTGAAAATATTAAAACACTAATATAACATTTAAAAAATATAACACAAACATCTGCGAGCAACTGTCACAATTCAGGTAAAATAGCCGTTACGACCTTTTCAAACTACAGAAAAAGCGTTGAAAACGTAATGGTGGGGTAGCACATTCAATCATTGGCGGAAAGTAACTGAAAATAACTTGTTGATCCGTATCAATGGAAACGGGTATTTGAAAATCAGAATAGCCAACATTACATTACTACTGTTTGTATGTTAAGTTGCATAAGTCTAAATTATTAAAATCTTATTTTGTATGATATTAAACAAATTTAGCAGCTTAACTTTGAATATGAATAATTAATTATTAACGTTTTAAATTACAATATTTTTGTTATTTTAGTAGAACATATTTGTTAAAAAATGAATACAAATACATAGGATAAATGAATATTTGATTTGATTAATGAATGATAAACACAATAACAGTTGTTTTGTATGTTTAATTATAAAATCAATAAAAGTTAGTAATAGTTTGTATACAAGTGAACATAATTACATTGGTTTCTATATATAATGAATCAATACAATTATTTACACTGAAACAAGGCAACGTTAATTATAAATTATGAAACAGAATATATCAATATGCAAGGTACTGCCAGGAAATAAGAAACAAACAGCCTTCTTACTGAAAACACTCTAATAATCTGTATAATATTATATAAATCTCTAACAATATACAAAATAACTATTTGAACTTGTAAATAGGCTCCAGCCCCGATCATGCGTCTTTACTTTCATTTAAATAATTCCCTTTGTATGTCTCTCCATTGTCATTCGGTAATCTCCCATTAAACTCAACCATAGTTACATTAATTTTAAATTTACTTCTTTAATTCAACAGCCTTGGATTGTGTATTGCCACGTTTCCGCAATGTTTCGTCCATTCGCAACTGCTCCTGCTGCAACTGCATCCGAATCGAGCCCAGCTGGGTCAAAATGCTCCTACTCTGACCATCCCCTTGATTTACTATATTCTTTTGTACTGCCGGTATCTATTTTGTGTGTGTGTTTTTTTTTATTTGTTTTAAAAAAAAACATCAAAAACGGCACCCAAAAAGGAATAGAAAGAAAAGAAAACGAAATGAAAACATAAAAACAAACTATAAAACAATATCAGCAGACACACTGTACAACTTGAAATTAATTGAAAACAAAATATTTGTAAAAAAGAAAAAAACGGAATCTACAGGAAATATTTACAAGTGATTTTGTTTTCATGTGTAATTAGTTAATATGAAAAAGCTGGAAAGCGTAGCTTTAACTCTATTAAAATTGATTCAATTGTTTTTCTTTATGGAGGCAAAGAAATTTCTTGCTTAAAATTCTTAAAGCCAACTTTAGATAATTTAGCAATCTAATTTTCTATTACAGAATATTGCTAATCACTTTAAAATTACTGGAAATGTAACCAATGCAAATTTCTTAATTATTGTTAATTCCATATTTCGTGATTATTATAAAATTATAATAATAATAATCCTATTTTGGCTATACATTATTATTATCATCAATTCAATGTTCTTTACAACTACTGAATGGAAATCAGGTAAAAAGGTGTTTTCTAATACCTTGCAAGTGCAAATTCTATTACCATACATAAAGGTTGTAAATGGTTGTGAAGCTATAAACTAACCAAAATTACCTTGCCTCCTATAAAGATCTACAATAAATCAGGCTGTAGCTGAAATTTTCGTCATAATAATATCAGAAACGATTTTCACCTTGACGATTAAGTGAAAGTTCACTCGAACCTGAGAGCAAATATTTAATAAAGTGTTATATCCCTACAAGTTCGTTGTGATGAGAGTTTAACACAAAAGAACCATAATAAATACGCCAATTATACAAATGAATAACTGTAACTTTGTTTTATATATAACGCGAGTTATATGTGTATTATTTACGTAATTGACTTAGTCAAAATCGTGTGATTTTGATTGCCGCGCATTCATTCATAAATTGGACGTTTATACCGTAAGTAATTGTCTTAAGGTTGTTAATTATGCCAATATATTTACAAATATTTTAATTTGATTAGAGATAGAGAGTATTGTCAGTCAAATATTTGGCAACTGTTAGAATAGTAGCGCACAACTAATGTGCACGAACAATGTGCTGCTATAGCTTACTGAATTGTAAAGCAAAATAAATATATTTATTTTAATTAAATATTGAAGTCATTTAATTAAAAAAAAAAAGACAAAACTTGATTGGATGCCTTGTTTAGGCAAAAAGTATAGAAGATCAACAGTAAAAGATATCATAGTTTATATAAACTGCAGGCTCAATTAAAATTTTATTTTTATTGTATTTTGAAATAATTATTTTCCTTTTCATAATTATATTTCAAATTTAAACACATATAGTTGTTATTTGAATTTGTGCATCTACTTGTGGCTCTTTATAAAATATAAAAAATTGGATTGTGGCTCTCTTTGGCCTCCTGTGGGTCCACCCCTGGTATATATATATGTTGGAATTTATAGAAGTTATCTAAGAGAATCGCAACGATTAAAAAAAAATATAGCAGCACATGTGTCTAGCACATAAGTAGAATTTAAATCATGTCAATTATTTTGATTCGAAATTCATATACATATCTTATATTAATATTGGTGTGTGTATATATATATATATATGTATAAATATATAGTACATTTTGAGCAAGATTTCCTAAAGATTCTAAAATAATAGCGTAAAAAACTGAAAGTAAAAAATATAGGAACGCAGATTGAAAAAAAAAAGTAACGTAAAAGGTTCGAAGCGCTTGCGAGTGAGTCCATGTGTTACGTAATAAAGTCAACGAGAACAAGACCAAGATCAACAACAACAACAAGTACGGGTGCTCGGTATTGAATGGAAGAGAGTCAGTAGGGAAGCGTGAACGAGTTGTAACCGTAGGGCGATCTTACCTGCCACTTGTCTTCGAGCCTACGGACGGCATCGGAGCGAGTGGAATTGACCGCAATGGAATTCTTCAATTCCCTAGCCACCGGTGAATGAGCCTTAAGAACGGGAATCGGAAGAGAGTCCTCGAACCGGCTCGAACTGCTGCGCCGCTGCAGCTTCGGACTCCTCCGAATCATGCTCAAATCCTGCTGGGTCGCGCTGTGCCTACGCTGCACCCTACTCAAACTATCGCTAATGTTCAACATCTCTAACCTACTGCTCAACGCATCCTGATGTTTCAATGAATCTATTCTACTCAACGAGTCGTAGCGTCCGAACTGCGATCGACCGCTGCTGTAGTAATTGGTGGTGTCCTGCTGCTGCACCGACGGCACGTTCAACGAGTCCATCCGGTTACGCAGGAAGGAGTCGTAGCGCGAAGGGTTGTAACGGGTCGAAGGTTCGGCGAATACAGACGTCGATGGGATGTTGTACGAATAGGGATTGCGGCGAGCGACCGGCGGCGAGTAGTGGGATGACAGCTTAGGCGTACCCCGGATATTCGATACGCTGCTCTCGGAATCGGTGTGCTTCCGGTACTGACGACTGCTCTGCATTTCCTGTTTCCTCGTCGCAAAGTCATCGCTGTTCCGTCGCATCTGACACACAGCACATTCACACAACACACCCCTCAAGCATATTCACAAACAACAAGTAACAAGACATTCCTCTACAAACCTGTTCACGTCGATTCCGCCTCTGCTCATCGCGCAATTGTTCCTCTTGCATACGAAGCAACTGTTGTTCCAGTCGCCGATTCTCCAACTCTTGTTCTCGTCGTTCCTGCTCCTCCCTCATTGCTACAATTCGTCGTTTCTCTTCAATTTGCAAACGAAGTTCATTCTGGTAGATCTCCCTCTTTATGCGTTCCTACGATACAAAGATATTAGATACAAATATTAAACATGTAAATCCACAAAATCAATCACCTATTTTATATTATGTAATTATTGAGTAATGTTATTTTTTTCTTAATTAATCTGTTGGTAATTGTTAATATTATTATAAAATAATATAAAACATAGTATGAGATCAAAAACATTGTTCTAGGCAACCAATGTCACACTAAGATGTTAATAAACGCGAGGCGGAGCGTCGAGTAGGCGGAGTTAAATGAATGTTTAAAAGCGAATCACCAAAGCAAGTGCACAATTACTCAATTACATTTATTCATAGTGGGCGTAAAGTAAATTTTTAAATATTAATAGAAAGAAAAAAAAAAGATGAGGTTTACCCGTTCGATATCTTCGCTTCGATCGCTATAACTAAATCCATCCATCAGACTATTCGGGACATAGCTGTGCTTCAAATCGGAGAGCAACCGTTCTGAAAAGCAAGGGTACATAATAAATAAGTAGTCCGAAAATGAATGAATGATGATGGTTTACCTCTGGGGCTTTCGGTGCGACGGTTGGTGAGAATACCGCGAGGCGGTTGCTTGTCCATTTCAGGTTTGTGGTGAGTGCTGGAATTGTGCGCTGCGGCCGCCGCTATCCTCTGGTCTAATCTATGTAGGACAGGACTACGATTATTGTGCATCACAATGTTACGAGTTGTTTCGATTGTCGGGGGACCCAATGGCAAAGACAAGTCCCCGCTTCTAACGGCAGTTTCTGGTTTCTGTTTAGCACTCGGAGGAGTGTATTGTATCTACAATGGACAAAACCCACGTATATTAACTACAAATTGACGAAATTATTTCCAAGAGTTGAAGGATGTAGTTATGTACAACAGAGACAGAGAGAGAGAAAAAAAAAAGAGATATAGAGAGGCGAAGTATGTAAAGTATATAAAGAGATGCGAGTGTTTTGGCGAGAATTAGTTCAATTAATCGCAGCATGCCAGAGTAAGCCACATTCCTATATGTATATTTTTTTTGGTTTCAATTAATTTATTGCATTCATGCCCATTCGTTAGGGTTTATGAGCACACTTAACAGTGATGTCGCTAAAACTTACCAACTTATTATTAATGTTTTGCAAGTCGGTTTGCACAGACTTATTGGAACTGGGTGACTTAACCAGTTTTAGCGCTGTGCTTTTTATGCGTTCGTTCCTCTGCAATTTCAAAATCATTTCGGACACTCTTCCTTACATAACATCAACACCAGCATCGAAATAAATCATGAAGTGAACAGTTAATGAACATCCCATACTTACACTGTTTATATTTTGCTTATAGTCTCTGTGACGTTGCTGCAGCAGTATCTCCTTGCGTTGTTCGTATTCGCCTAAACCAAGATATGGAGCGGCGTTCACCCTCAACTGAGGATTGTTTGGACTGAACTCGCCGTACCGCAACATTGGTTGTCTCCTGTCACGCTCATCCTGCAAATTGACAGGTTTACATTTTTTTTAACCCATTTGCATCGAGGTTCCGGCTCGAATCGAAAGTTTCGTGAACAAAATAAAGCACCTAAAGCCTAATCCATGCTTACCGATCTAAATATAAATTCACTCTCTTCTGGCCGACTGCTCAAACCGTCCTCATTACTCGAAAGGCAACTTAAATCAAGCGCTGCGACTAAAGGAGCATTCTATAAAGAACACAACAGAGCCAACGAAGTTTTAGAAGCAAAAAAATGACTAAATAGAAATTGATATATTTGATTATGATGGCATTGATCGAATTACTTGTTTGCTTTCGGCCCGCTGCGGCTGCGATCCGGTTATAATGGAATTAGGCACCGGCTTGTTCTCTTTCTCCTCCAAATCATCAGTTTCTGGAGTTCCCTTCTCGACATCGTCGTCCTACAACATAAATACCAGTCAGAAAAGCAACAAAATCGAAAATCACAAAAGAAACAAATCACTCACAGCACGTCATCATCGCTACAGTGATGTTTTATACTGTCGGTATGGAGAGAGAAGGAAAAAAAAAACGGAAACGGATTGTGAGCTTTCGCTCGTTGTTGTCGGGAGGCGGCGAGGATTACGAATAGAGTAACGAAACTGGATTTAACTGCTGCTGCTGCAGGGGGTAAGTGTAACCCTTAGGAAAAGTTTGGCGGGGGTGGCGGTATATTCTGGTATCTCTCGTCCACCACCTCCTCACACCCCCCACGCACACACACCGAAAACGCGCGCAATATTAGAACTGGCGGCGGTGGTGGCGGCAGCAGCGGGCGAAAGGAATGATCAATAATTACAAGGTCGCGCAGGGGTTGTAGACATCTAACCGCCAACACACAAAGTTGGCACTCCTATCATTTGCCACCCCACAAAAACGCAAAAGTTCATTCCCTCAAAAGCAAAAACAAAACCATGCTATGGCGCCACCCACTTCAAAGGCACGCCCATTTCAACTCTCCGAATTCTATTTACATTTGTATCCTTCATAACAAAGTAATATACCTTTCGCATTTCAAATTAAAGTGAACATTAGATATCGAAGGGCAGAATACAATCGGTTAATAAATTATTTACAATGTTGTGAAATAGACGTTACTTCAAAAGGCAATCCGCATTCATTATTAACGGTAGCTCATTTTTCTGTAATCGACGTCGTTTTCAAGGAATAATTTAATCGCAATCCCAATTTGTAAATGGAAAATAGAAATTCTTGCGTCAGAGCCACACTTTATCCGCGATTGGGTTACACGAGGGGAAAGTTTATACCATTCATATTTATTTAGCATAGTATTTATTGATGTTCCCTTGGTATTTATGTCAAGGCTTTGACCTGGTTTAGGATGGTGATCAATTCCCCTCATCCCTAAGGACCTTTCTTTTTTTTTTGCAAAATCTATTTTTAGATTGGGACGCCCTGTCATTTTAATTTCATGGGTATGTTCTAGTTGCATTGAATTTCAACTTGTGATCATTTGCAACAATATTATCAAATTTTGAACATACATTATTTGGCCAACATTCAAAATTCTAAACAAATTTAAATAAACAACAAAACCTTTTCAATTGCCATAGTTTATACACAAATCTATTATTATACTATAAAAAAAACAAACATAATATTTTATAGTCGTATGACAAAATTATTTCATTATTTTACAATAAATTATTGCAAAATTTACAATGATTCCAATTGATTGATATTATAGATAGAGATAATTAATAAATAATTGAAATTATTGTCATTTGAATATAATGATTACCTTTTCAAGTTTGAATGCAAATAAATCTAGTCTTCTCTCCTCTTCCTTAAGTAGAGTCCTGTGGGTTTTCAAAAATTCCTTCAAGTCCAGTGCCATTGTAATACAAACAGAAACTCGACATTAAAGTCAACTTCAAATACGATCCAACAACGTGCTACTATTAACATTAAAAAGTACAAATTTATATCATCTACAAAATTAAAAACAAAATTGTAAACAACTTGTTGCACTGCACATAACCTTTATAAAAACTTTTTGAATCCCTTACATTACCAACGTTCATATAACGGTTAAAAACATATTAATAGCATACATTTTTTTAAGTATATTTCGATACAGAAAAATTAATTTGTGTGTTAAATATATGTTTTGTGATGATATATACATATGAGAATGTATAATAATAATAAGTTTATAATAATTTGAAGTGTATATTTGGTTGCATATATCACTTTAGAGATATTTGTATATTGTTAGAATGATGATACTTATAAAGTAGTATTATACTACTATTGTATTAAATATGTGCTAAAGGTATCATTAAAAATCATGAGAATTGAATATTTGTTAGGTAGTTCAAATATAAATAATATGATTGTCTGAAGGACAGTTTGGCCAACTTAATAGCAGTAATTACTTAAGAGAAGATTGGAAAAAACATAAGCAAAAGATAAGCGTGTAGTTGTGTGGTAATACATCGTTTTACGATTTATATTTAATATATTTTTGTTATTTGTTAACTGATAATTGAAGCAAAAATACCATGGATGATGAAGCGGAAACTTACAAACTTTGGAGAATCAGGAAAACCGTAATGCAGGTAAGAATGTTTGAATCTTAACCTCAAATGGTGTTATTTGAATCTGAATTTGTAGCTTTGCCATGATAGAGGATATTTGGTAACACAAGACGAATTGGATCAAACCCTTGAACAGTTTAAAGAGCAATTTGGAGATAAACCAAGGTACAAATCATAAACTTCTATAAAAGTTCATACATTAAAGTCCTCTCTTTTTTTTTAGTGAAAAACGTCCATCCAGAAGTGATTTAATTGTCCTTGTTGCTCACAATGATGATCCAACAGATCAGATGTTTGTTTTCTTCCCAGACGATCCAAAGATTGGTATCAAAACCATTAAGACTTATTGCCAAAGAATGCAGGATGAGAACATTCACAGAGCAATAATTGTTGTGCAGACTGGTATGACTCCATCTGCTAAACAGTCTTTAGTTGATATGGCGCCTAAGTATATTTTGGAACAATTCTTAGAATCTGAATTGCTAATTAACATAACTGAACACGAGTTGGTACCTGAACATGTTGTGATGACACCAGAGGAAAAGCAGGAACTGCTTGCCAGATAGTATCCTTTTCTGAATATCTTCAAACAAATTGCATATAAACAGTTGGTTGTTTTTCCTTAATTCACAATTTCAGCAAATTGAAGGAGAACATGTTGATGAGGATACAGGCAGGAGATCCAGTTGCTAGATATTTCGGTTTGAAGAGAGGACAGGTCAGTAAACGCAACCCCTATAATTTCGTTCTCATTTTTCTCACGATTATAAATTTTAAGTGTTGTTCTTAATATTATATTTATTTTTGTTTTGCATAACTTAAAATTATCATGCCCTCATGCATTTTGGATAGCATCTAACGTGTGTCCAGCTGTCCGGTCATTCTTCACGTGCGCACCGTTTTTAATTGCGTTTTAACCATTTTATGAGGGTTGCAATTTGCGCACGTGTCTTTCGAAACGTCACGTCTTCTTAAACCTTAATTTTATTTATTTTCATTATTAATATATACTTTTCTTTGCATTTTACCTGGCGCAGGTGGTTAAAATTATCCGACCGTCAGAAACAGCCGGCCGTTACATTTCCTACCGACTCGTGTGTTGAACATAATTCCCAGTCTGCTGCGGATAATCCGATTTTAATTCGCCGAGAGGTGTTTAACGAACCACCTACTACGATCACTTTGGATGTCCTTTGAGAATATTGTGTAATCTTAATATTAATTATGTTTAATGTACATTTAATAAATGTTTTTCCTAATAATTTACAGTTGTTTCAATTTATTCGTTATTTGTTTGTTGTTGTTGTTTATTTTTTTTTTCATTTGTCACTTTAAACCTGGACCATTTTCAGCAATTCGGCGAGCTGCAATTTCGCCCAATTAAAAAATTGATATCGCTGTTTTAAAACGATTTAAAAATCGTGCAACAGGTGATGGATTCACTATTTATTTGTTTAATATCAAGTGGAAAAATTTGCTGAATATCGAACATGTTTTTATTGGATAATCGTCGATTATATAAAATGTAAATATTTTTTTTGTAAAGTATCCACAATTACAATTAATTTACGATTTAATCATAAAAAAACAACTGTTTTTTTTCTCATTCTTCAATATTACCTACTGTTAAAAATACATCTAACTTCAATTTACATTAGTAAATTCCAACAGTTTTAATCGTCGAAAGACAAAATTGAATTTGAAAATTAATGATTCCATTTGGAATCACTGGGCTGGAAAGGGTTAAAATTAATTTTATTGGCATGTAAACACTGCGTGTATTAAAACACAGTTTGTAAACTTAACTTCTTAAAATTACTATAAACCAATTTTTGTCTACATTACAATAAATTGCGTTTAAAGGCTGATTAAAGAATATTAAAAAGAAACTGCAGAACTACAAAGATTTAAAGAAGGTAAGACTAATTTGTTTTGTGTACAATAATCGTGAACAGTTGAATAAGTTGATTATTTCGAATGTGTCGGTAATAAAATCAAACAAAAAACTTTATTTCAACACATCAGGTAGTTGGCGATCACATTTGAAGTAGAAAAGTCGATTGTAATCACTTATTAGTAGACAAGTTGATACCAAGAATGAAGAATTTGATTCGATTATATATTTATTTAAACATTAATATCTCTGATTTGCTGCATATATGGACAGGGCTGTATCGAATATATTTAATAATGAAAACCAAACTGGCCAAAGTATGTAAAATCAAATATACATACATATAAAATAAAATTTGAGTGAGAAAAAAGCACTCAGGGTTGATACTAGTATGGATCAAGGATTAGAAAAGGGTTATTGTGGGATATTTAAATTTGGGTTTCGAGTAATACAGAATCTAGAAAGGGTAGCAATATTGGATTTCGTATTTTGGTGAGGATACGAAGGGCAGAACGTTCAGTTGCGGACAGGTTTTTTAGGATGCGATTTCGGCATTGGGAAAGTTGAGGGAAACCTTCATCAAAGATTGGACGGCAAATGGATGTTTCACTGGATGGATATTTCGGAGTTACAGATTGGAATGGGAATTAGGTTGAGTTTTGGATCAAGAAGGATTCCTAGGTATTTAATAAGTGGCGATGGGAATATGAGATGATTTATGTAATGTAACTTGGTGTAATGTAACTTGGATGCGTTTATTTTAATGCACCATTTTTTAACCACAATATGGAACGCATACAGTTTGGGATCGAAGATATTAGGATTGGGGCTATACAAATCACAACAACAAGATAGAGAGGTAAACCTTGCGGGACACCCTGATGCGGGCAAAAGGATTTTTAAGGTTTTTGATGATGCTGATGCCAGACAAAATCGAACGCCTTGGACTGTCTATGAACAAAGCGCTCGAGGTGAGAGGTCTGTAAGTTGGTAGCCAGGATAATAAGGGGAAGGATAGTGGACTTTGCAGCTCGGAAACCGAACTGGTAGGCGGGGATAGAATTATCTAGGTGGGAGAGGATTTTATCTTTAATGAGGGATTTGCTGATGACAGGGGAGGAGTGTTATTGGACGGTAACCGGAAGGAAGAGAAAGGTCACTATCACTATTGGGGATACAAACAATTATACCAAACTTCCACTCGAAAGGGATATATTGACGGACAAGACAGAAGTTAAAGATTTTAACATTGAAGGAGTGGACATCTGGATCAAGGAGTTTTTTTTTCTTCTATTAACTAGGTCATAACCTGGGGTAGAGTTCTTGGAAGATGAGATGGTGTCGAGTAATTCGTGGTCTTAGATAATGGACTCAGGAGCGACTGCATTGTCATTTCTGTGTGGATTTACAATTAATTCCCGGAAAACGTATTTCCATATCATTTTTTGACGTAAAAATAGTTTGAATCATCAAATTTTTATGTTCATTTTATAAAATGTACATTTTTAGTTAATAATAATAATAATTTATTGGCCAGACAGTAAATATAGAACAAATCCTATAAATAAATACAAATGATAACAATAATATTAGGTCTTTCCACTATTTTAATCAGTGGAAAATGCAATATCAAATTATAAAATGATTGATTAATCAGACTATTTAATAGTAGCAAACATGGCATGACATGCGCAAAAAATATACATTTTTTTTTAAACCTATGACATCAGGTTTACGTCAGTGGAAATAAATGTGTAATTTGTAAAAGATTAATCAATTTTATACTAACAATTTGCTGATTTCACTTTTGATATGTAAAGATTGAAAATAATTTTGCAAAATACTTTGTCATCAGTTGGATTACATATAGAGGGCGCCTCTATCGTCAATTCCACATGATTTTTAGGAAGTACCAACCTTTAGACAACGCCTGTCAAAATTTCATGACAATCTGACGTTTCGTTCACTGGTTACAGTGGTTTTAGTGACGTAATATTCAAAACAATGGAAAAATCTGAATTTCTTGTGTTGATAAAACATTGCTTTTTGTGTTATTATATAATTTGATAACACTAGTGCTTTGTAATTAGTAAATTTAGTTACTATTTCAGATTTACTGCTGATTACTTATAAAACACTCCATTGATCAGAGAAATTCAAACTGGTATTCAGTCTATGCACACTGCTTTTTCGAACGTTCTAATTTCAATTTCTCAACTTTGAAGCGTATTACAGCAATATGGATAAGAGC